GTGAAGCATGGTGGTTTCAGAGTGATGGTTTGGGGAGCTGTTTGGGAGATCGAGCTTAGTGGAGTGCGTTAGCAACATAAATTTTGCAAAATACGTCGAAATATTGGAGGAAGGATTCTTGTCACTTTATTCCTCGAGTTTCGTGGACAAGAACACAACATTGTTCCAGGAAGATGGAGCCCCGTGTCACACTGCTAGAAACACCCAAAAGTGGCAGGAAGAAAATGGTATCCAGAAGTTGCCCTGGCCGAGCCAATCTCCTGACATGAACCCCATCGAAAACCTCTAGGCCATACTCGACCGGCAAGTCAAGAAACAACTAAAAAACCAACTTCGAAGAGCGATCTACTCCAAGTTTTGAAGCAAAAGTGGGTGAAAATCCCACAATCTAAAATTGACGAGATGATTCTAAAGATGCCCCAAAGGATCAATGAACTCCACGAAGTGAAAGGAAGATCTACTAGATATTAATTAAATTATAAATATATCAAATCATGTGAATATGACTGAAATATTTAATTTTTTCTGAAAAGGTGGTGTCTATTTACTTGTGACCACGCTGTGTGTGTATGTGTTTGTGTGTATACATTATTGAAAAGATCTGCATACTTCCAAAGCTACTAACATAAACTTTATTAATTGATTAAACTAAAACAGAAACTGAAATATTTAATTTTTCTGAAAAGGTGGTGTCTATTTACTTGTGACCACACTGTGTATGTATGTGTTTGTGTGTATACATTATTGAAAAGATCTGCATATTTCCAAAGCTACTAACATAAACTTTATTCATTGATTAAACTAAAACAGAAACTAACCAATCATATATTTCCTATATTCTAAAATATTTTATAAAGTTCAAGAATTTTTTCAAACAGTTCCATATATATTGATATTAACTAAAAACTGTAGGTCTGAAACAAACTCTTTGATAAAATTATCAAGAATGAGTGTCTTAAACTATATTACTCTTTTAGCAAGTTCCTCCTTCAGATAAATAACTCTTATGTTCATATCATCCTGTCTATATTATTTTAAAAACCTACACATACCAAGAATTCATCCCACTCTGTACAGATGACCACTGCATGGGCTCTTTCTGAGGCTGAATATGGATTTGTATGAAATGACAGCAACTCTAGGACTGCAGAGTAAAAGTAGTCATTTTCATGAAGTCATAGATAATTGTAAGAAATGCTCAATATTTAACAAAAGAATGGGTTTTTTAACTTAAGTGCATTAAAATGGCAGCAGTAAAATACAAGAAGTGGCTACAACTTGATGCATTTTAATCATGTATGTTTTAGTGAGACAGAATCTATGGCCATGTAAAGTTAAAACGCTCTTAAGTGCATGTGAATAGCTTTATTACTTACGAGTGGAATATTGTTACATAGAATGAATAAGTAGCATATGACTAAAAGTTAAGCTAAGTAACAAACACTGGAAAGACCTAAGAATAAGCTTTACCTTTTACAACAAAAAAACAAACTGGTCATCTGGTGGTGATGTTTTTAATTTTTCAAACATAGAATAAATTTTTTTTATTTAATATTTAGGAATATAACCAACATATAGATACTATAAGATTGGAAAATTAAATTATTTAAATTCTAGTATTATTTTTTGTTTCCATATCATTGGAAATATTACTCAAGTGATAAGTATTAGATAAAGATTAGTGGAAAAATAGGAAAGCAAGCAAGTGGACAATAAAAGTTTAGAAGTATTATCAAAAAATTATGAAAGAAAGCATTATAATTGTTTTCAACATTAAATAAAAACGTTTTTTATTATACTATAAATAACTTCACCTATGATTTTCGTACTTCAGCACCCATAATTTTCACACTTCAACACCTATAATTTATGTACTTCAATAAACTACAACAAGACCTTCAAACATAGCAAAACACACAACACCTTTTTCTGGTTTGTCCATGATATCTGGGTGCGTAAGGTCTCTAATAAAAGAGAAAAGAGAAAAGTTTAAGCTAAACTCTTTACTGTTTTGTAATTTGAATAAAACTTAGTTTACTGTGTAAAAAAAAGTCAATTCATGTTTTATTCTAATTCCAATAACCTTGCATTGTATAACATGGTATACTTCATGTATAACATGGTATACTCCATGTATAACATGGAATATTAAAACTATGAAGCAGGCATAAAACCAATGTTTGCTATTGTAGCCTATAATAAGAGCTTAAAAATGTCTTAACAAAATATGAATAGAATCTAATTCATTAAGGTCTAAATAGAATAAGATAATTTCAAAGTCTTTACTCTATAATACATGGAGTATACCATGTTATACATGAAGTATAGCATGTTATACATGGAGTATACCATGTTATACATGAAGTATAGCATGTTATACATGGAGTATACCATGTTATACATGGAGTATACCATGTTATACATGAAGTATACCATGTTATACATGAAGTATAGCATGTTATACATGGAGTATACCATGTTTGTTATGCTTCATGTATCTAATCATTCCAATATTAACATGTCATACTTCATGTATCTAATCATTCCAATCATAACATGGTCATACTCCATGTATAACATGCTATACTTCATGTATTTCCAATATTAACATGTCATACTTCATGTATTTAAACATTCCAATATTAACATGTCATACTTCATGTATCTAATCATTCCAATATTAACATGTCATATTTCATGTATCTAATAAATCATTCCAATATTAACATGTCATACTTCATGTATCTAACATGAAGTATGACATGTTAATATTGG